GTCCGCGACCCACTCGAAACGGGTCCGCGACCCTCTCGAAACGGGTCCGCGACCCACTCCAAACGGGTCCGCGACCCTCTCGTAACGGTTCCGCGACCCTCTCGTAACGGATCCGCGACCCTCTCGAAACGGGTCCGCGACCCTCTCGTAACGGGTCCGCGACCCACTCCAAACGGGTCCGCGACCCTCTCGTAACGGGTCCGCGACCCTCTCGTAACGGGTCCGCGACCCACTCCAAACAGGTCCGCGACCCTCTCGAAAAGCTCACTTTTCAAATAAATTCTGTCAAATGAAGTTGAAAACATTTTCAAACAAATCTTAGCTTGAAATATGCCCTTCATATTTCATCTGCTTCCGTTTTAATGAATGAGCTGCTGACTGAATACACGACACCCTCTGGAGAGCTGTGATGTATGCAGCTTTATTCTTAAAGCAAGAACCTAATCGTCCCACATTTGATTGATTTAGCTAACTTATAACTTCACTTATGAGGCGATAAACCTCCAGGCCCAGCCCTTTGTATGTTTTTTTGTATGTTGCCCCCTGTGAAAAAAGTTTGGACCCCCCTGATGTGGAGTCTCTTCGACACGATGCACCAATCAGAGACCCTGCAGTCACACCGTTAGCTTGACCAATCAGCAAACCAAAAAACACTGAAGGAGTTCTTAGAAACAACACGAGAGGCACAGCAACTGGATGATGAAGAGAAGTAGATTCTACGTTCCATTGAACACGACCTGATAATTATGATAACAAATCTGTTATAACACAACAATATTACTCCCATTTTATATGTGTAATTTTAGTTTGTTGAATCAATAGGGAATGGGAACAGCGGTATAGAAACAGCAGCGACGGCCGTCAGTTTTCCCGGTCAGCAGTCAGCTGTTTGCGTCCGAACTCTCTTACAAGGAGAAGCTCTGGGCAGAAACAGAGGAGCGTTATTTAAATATAAAAGCTAATTAATGACATCTGTCCGTATGAATTAAGAGAAGAACGGTCACTGTGAAATCTGTCTGTCCTCTCTGCTGTTACTTAGTCTCTACACCTGTCGGCAATTTAATACATTAAATGATAACTATCTGGAACGTCAGGACCTTCAGAGTTACAGGTTTAACGACTATAGAGTCATCCGGACCGAGGTAAGACAGCTAATGCTCTGCTCCCAGTATCTGTAGTACTGAAATATGAACTGTTGAATCCTATTCCCAGTTAGTGGTTCCTGTATTTCATCCAATCAATGATTCCTCTACTCAGTGGTTCCCAACCGGGGGTACGGGGACCCCTGGGGGAACTTGAGGGGGTTGCAGGGGGTACGTAGAAAGATTAGGGATTGCAATATATTTCCACACAAAACATTTTTATAACCCTCCTGTTGCCTCCGTTCCCCCCCCCCCTTACTTTGGTGTTCGAGGTCAAATTTGACCGGTCCTGTTTTAACTGCTATTACATTAACATAAAAAACATTAATCATCACCAAATGTCCTTTAACACCCTTTCAAACTGAACATATTGTATCAGACTACTGGTATACATGAAGAACTGCAGTCAATGTACAGAGAACAGACACTGAACATGTATTGGTGTGCCAGGTGTGATCCATGTGGGGGGAGGGGCACATAAGAGCGGGAAATGTGTCAAATTGTTATGGTTGTGTGTGTGTGTGTGTGTGTGTGTGTGTGTGTGTTTTATCTGATCCGGATGGTTACTAATTCCATTTCTTTATGGCGGTCTGTTTTGATCAAAGTTGACTAAATCATCCAAATTTCAATGAAAGTGGTGATCAGCAATTTCATATGTTCAAATCTCTACTGTGAAGGATATCATGAAGCCTTAATGCAATCGAAATTATGATTGATGAAAGTAGTAAATCGGTCAGGTTCGACCCCCCAACAGGAGGGTATCAATTTTCATAAGCCTGGTGTCCCGCCCCCAGAACTATCAAAGCTTATGAAAGACCAGCTCAAGAGTGTCATTAGAAGCTCTAGTCTTAACAAAAGATGTTGAAACTGCTAGAAGTGAGTCTTAATATTATTATTTTCACTGACAATGAGGATAAATGTCAAGTTTAAATGCATTTGTGTTAAGGGTGAGTTATGCAACTGATTTTCATCCAAGGAGCAGTTGGGTTGAAAATGATTACAAAGGGTTTAATACAAGAACAAAAGTTGGCAAATCATCACAGACGAGTGAGGGGGTTCTTATAGAATGGCGACCAGCTCAAGGGGGACACGAGACAACAAAGGTTGGGAACCGCTGCTCTACATTACCGAAGCAGGACTCCTGACTGACTCCACTGCACGTCGTCAGACCTGCAGAGGAACAGAAGCCCTCAGCGTTTCGCTCCAGCAGATGTACATATACTGCGATATTACCCGTTTCAAATCATATTGCCAGTGTAGTGGCTCCTGTATTTCCTCCGCGCATTCAGCATCTCTTGCTGATGTTTCTAAGTCTCTCTCATTTAAGATGTAATCCCATGGCTGCATCCTCACAGAGCCTTCCCACCAGGTTTAAAACGTTAAAGTGAAACACTAACGGCTACTCCGCTCACTGTCAGCTGAAATCCACAGGTGAGGTTTCTACTACCCTCCAAAAGATGGACGACTTGGTACTTCTCCAATCAATCCTCACCGTTTCGCTCCAGCAGATGAGTGTCGGAGTGTTTCTTTCCGATGTCGGCGAAGGAGCGGACCAGCGGGATGCGGTTGCTCAGCTTCTTCTCACTCTGATGGTGGTGGCGCCGCATCATGGTCTCCTTCACCTTCTCCCTGACCGCCTCCTCCAGCTGACCCGACGCCAGCATGCTGTCAATCACCATGTCTGTAGAGAGGAGGCGCGTTCAAATCTGCTTTAACTCCAAGAGATATTCAGAGAGACTGGTCCAGATCTCTGACAACACTTAAAGAGGCCCTGCTTTCGGTTTCTGTGCCGTTCCCTCTCCTGTAGGTCTATAGTGCATGTCAATGGTCTGCAGACACTAAAATCCCTGTGTTTTGACTTGGAACTATTTTAAGAAAACTATAATAACACAACAAATTAATACAAAATATAGTAAAATGTATGTATATTTAACCTGAGTGTTTTATGAATGCAGGGTTTGGGCACTGAATGTCCAATTCTGAAGAAAATGACATTTCGAGTAAAAAAGTGACATTTTGAAAAAAAAGTCAAATTCTGAGAAAAAGTTAAATTCTTAAAGAAAGAGTAAAAAAAGGGAATTTCAAGAAAAAGTGTAAGTCTTAAAGAAATCTAATTCTGAGTAAAAAAAGGGAAATTTCGAGTAAACTATTTTAAGAAAACTATAATAACATCAAAATAAAAAACTTTAAAAACAGCGTCACCTCAAGGTGCTTCACAAAGCTATAAGGAGAAAATAATAAAACAGATAAAATGAAAAGATACCTAAAATATGGCAATATAAAAAAAAAGGTTAAGAGCATAAAAGGTTAGAATAAAAGATATAGCAGGGTGTGAGACCTGCGATCTCCTCGATGCCGCCCGCCCTCATGTCCAGCAGCACGGTGCCGTGCAGGATGCAGGAGCGCAGCTCGAACAGGCTGTGGAGAGACAGCGTCGCCACGTAGGGTTTACTCCAGCGCTCGCCCCCGGCCTCCACGTCCTCCTCGAACTTCAGCCACCTGGAAACACCGCACAGATCTACCTTCACGCGACAGCTTCAAAGGTCTCCTGTCATGCTGTTTTTAGGCATGGGTCTCAGATATATGCAAATATATACAAAACATGTCTACGAAGTGTTTTGCTCAAAAAAAATAAAAGATCATGCATTTTGGAAATCCCTCATATCCCTCTATTCCAGCCCCGTTACCAAAGCGCTGATTCTGGGTCAGTAGATTGAAAAAAGAGGAGGTGGAGCTAATGCCTGCTCAGAATACTACCGGAGATACAGTTAAATGCTGCCGTGATGAAACTCCATATCATGTTTCAAACCACATCAAGGATTCTCTCTGAAACAGGATGGAGCTCAAACACTTTCTCTCTCAGGTTTACCACAAGGTGACTTCCTTTTGATTTCCTGCTTCTTCACACACACTCTCTCCAGTACAGGTTAGCTCTGAGTGTTAGCATGCTAATGTAAATACAGACCGTATCACTTCCAGAACACGTCTCATTGTTTCTGACAGCAACGTTTCTGATTGGACCGTGGGGGTAAAGCCCGCCCACATTTTAGTGATGTTGTCATGACGCAGCAAATCTGGATCAGCTCCGTTGTTCCCCGTTTTTAGAGATGTGGGTACGGAGGAAAAGAGAGAGGGGTTTATTTCCTGACACTTTGAGAGTCTCCTGACACACCGGGGACACGCTGGGGACACACCGGGGACACACACCGGACACACACCGGACACACACCGGACACACACACCGGGACACACCGGGACACACCGGGGACACACCGGGGACACACCGGGGACACACCGGGGACACACCAAGTAACATTAAGCTGTCTGTGGCTCTTTTCTGCAGTAACATCGTACATGTCCCCTCTGTGGGACTAATAAAGGTTTTCTGATTCTGAATCCAGATCAGATGCACGCTGAAGGCTCTTTGAGCATCTCTCACTGATCCTGCTGTTGTGTTTGTTGTTCATGTGTTGTGTCTGTTGATGTTACACGCTGTGATGCAAGGAGCATTTCAGACTTGATCTGGCCATTAAAGTGTTATCGTACCGTGTGACGCAGCACAGGCGAAATGCAATAGTATTCATTTTCTTATCCAGGCTGAAGATTCTTATTTCCCCCGCTGTAGTAAACTGTCTGGGCTCTGCAGGGTTTAAGGACATCCATTTTTTTGTATGTTTTTATAGTGTTCTTAAAATAGTTCTCTATCTGTGTTTTACATTTTGTTTTACTTTTATTTCTGCACCACGACATAAAGTCAGATTCCTCGTACGTGTCAACCGACCTGGAGATAAACCTGATTCTGAAAAGATGCTTACTTTTGGCGAAATTAGAGGAAATTACTCGACTAGTTTTTTTGTCAGAATTAGATTTTCTTACTCGAAATTTGACTTTTTTTCTCAGATGTTGAGTTTTTTAAGATTTTCACTTTTTTGTCAGAATTAGATTTTTTTCTTATAATTAGTTTTTTTGTCAGAATTGTATTTTTCACTCAATATTTGACTTCTATGTCAGAATCTTTTTTTTGTCAACATTTTATTTTCTTACTTACGTATTACTCTGAATTTGACTTTTTCTCAGAATTAGAATTTTTTCTATTTCAATGTAAATACTGCTATATTTTGGCGTTACGCTTACTTTTGGTGAATTAGAGGAAATTACTAGATTACTGTTTTTGTCAGAATTTGACATTTTTCTCAGATTTGACTTTTTTACTTGAAATTTCACTTTTTTCTCAGAATTAGATTTTTTTCTCAGAATTAGATTTTTTTCTTAGAATTAGTTAATTCGTCAGAATTTGACTTTTTTACTCGATATTTGACTTTTTTGTCAGAATTTAATTTTTGCACTCGAAATGTTGCTTATTACTCAGAATTAGATATTTGTAAGAATTTGACTTTTTCTCAGAATTTGACTTTTTTCTATTTCAATGTAAATACTGCTATATTTTACTATATTTTTTATGTTATTATAGTTTTCTTAATAATAGTTCTCTGTGTTTTACATTTTTGTTTTACTTTTATTTATGCACCACGACATCAAGTCAAATTCCTCGTAGCTAACCTCGTAACCGACCTGGTGATAAACCTGAATCTGAGAATGGACAGTTACAGAAAACCTCAATCAGTGCTGCTGTTTTTTCTTAGCAGAAGCAATAGGATCATTTTTAAATCAATAACATCCTTTTCAATTAACATCATCTAACATTGTTTTATTTAGTATGTGGCTGTGTAATAAGCATGGGGATCCTGCTCATGAGAAATAAAACACCCAGCGTGGGTTTTCATTAATGACCGCCTCGCTGCACATTATCCCTCACTTACACTCCAAAGCAAACTTTAACGTCTACTTGGCAATGAGCCTGATTTTAATTCTGATTTCCATCCATCCATCCATCTTCTCCCGCTTATCCGTGGTCGGGTCGCGGGGGTAGCAGTTCCAGCAGAGAGCCCCAAACTTTCTTTTCCCTGGCGACATCAACCAGCTCTGACTGGGGGGTCCCAAGGCGCTCCCAGGCCAGCGAAGAGATATAATCCCTCCACCTGGTCCTAGGTCTACCCCTTGGTCTCTTCCCAGCTGGACGTGCCTGGAACACCTCCCTAAGGAGGCGCCCAGGTGGACATGCGACATGACACTGCAGTGTACATGTGAATAAAGTCGTGTAAATTAAAGAGTGTGTCCTCGCCTGGCTGTCTCCTTCCACTCCTGGAAGTCTCCGTCTCTGAAGGTGATCTCGTCCAGTTCGGTGAACAGGTCGTGGGGAATGTGCTCCTCGTCTCCGTCCTCCGTCCCCAGGATGAACTGCACCCTCTGGGACGGCGTGTCTGCAGGAACATAATGTCACAGTATTTCAGAGGAAATATGTGAAAAGAGTACAAATAGTGTCCGGATTTTTTTTTTTTTTTAATGTCAAATAGATGTGTGAACAATGTAAGAAAACATATGTGGAACATTTCCGAGAATATGTTAATAAAAACAACCAAATAAATCCAGGAAAGAAGTCCAAAAATATGTGAATATTGTTGAATAAATATCAGTGAAATAAATATCAGTGAAAAAAAAAACTCAGTTGAGTGAAGAAGTCAAAAGAAAGTCTGAAATAATATTAAAACATTTTCAGAACATTTAATAATTTTATTTAATACAAATCAGACAATAATATTTGTGTAAGTAAATGCAGAGAAAATATGTGTGTGGGTGTGTTTAAATACTGGACGCACCGTTTGATGGCGACTCTTGCCCGTCGGAGCGGTCCCTGCGTTTCCGGTGATGTCGGTGTCCTCGGTGACGGTGCCGCCGGCGACTCTCTCGCCCCAGAGGAACATGGACGCCCACGTACACGGCTCTGTGACCTGCAGGGGGAAGAGAGAGGGGCGGGAATGAGTCCCGAACCCTGACACGACTCAGCATTTTCCCCACTTCAGGTTAACTCATCTGGAGGTCAACGGTTTTCTGAATGTGTTTTTGGTTGTTATCCTGAAATGTGGTCTGTGGTTAACAAAAGAGATTTTAACGCTTTGTTCTACGATATCAAAACTTCAGTAAATATCCCACTGGTGGATTTAAACACAGAGGTTGCTAACAGTTCCTTTATAGCCCAACATTAGCCGCCTTTAGCTTAGCGGTGGAGATGTGAAGTCATGTGACCGTGCTGTAGTTCCTTTATATCCCAGCATTAGCCTCCTTTAGCTTAGCGGTGGAGACGTGAAGTCATGGGACCGTGTTGTAGTTCCTTTATAGCCCAGCATTAGCCTCCTTTAGCTTAGCGGTGGAGACGTGAAGTCATGTGACCGTGCTGTAGTTCCTTTATAGCCCAACATTAGCCACCTTTAGCTTAGCGGTGGTGACGTGAAGTCATGTGACCGTGCTGTAGTTCCTTTATAGCCCAACATTAGCCACCTCTAGCTTAGCGGTGGTGACGTGAAGTCATGTGACCGTGCTGTAGTTCCTTTATAGCCCAACATTAGCCTCCTTTAGCTTAGAGGTGGTGACGTGAAGTCATGTGACCGTGCTGTAGTTCCTTTATAGCCCAACATTAGCCTCCTTTAGCTTAGCGGTGGTGACGTGAAGTCATGTGACCGTGCTGTAGTTCCTTTATAGCCCAACATTAGCCACCTTTAGCTTAGCGGTGGTGAGGTGAAGTCATGTGACCGTGCTGTAGTTCCTTTATAGCCCAACATTAGCCTCCTTTAGCTTAGCGGTGCTGACGTGAAGTCATGTGACCGTGCTGTAGTTCCTTTATAGCCCAATGTTACGTGCCGTAGTGTTTGTGTGGTCGTGTGTGTTTTTCTCTCTCTCCCTCTGACTCCCCAGGTGCAGCCTGATTGTCCTCAGGTGCAGCCTCTCCCCAGGTGCTCCCAATCCCCAATCAGGGCCTCCATATAGGACAGGAGGAAGGTTGCTGTCTCTCTCTCCCCCCTTCTCCCCGGGCTGGATGTGTGCAGCGTGGTGTCCATGTCTCCAGCATATAGTTTTGTAGCTAGAGTTGTTTTGCAAGTTGGCTGGTGAGCCGTGTTCATGTTTGTTCATTAAACGACTGGATCGTTACTCAGAGATCGGTTTTCTCTCCTTTTTGTCGTGCTTGGTCATCCTGGTGTGTTGTTACTTCCCTTTGTACCCCCTAGATTTAGAAGGGAACGTAACACCCAACATTAGCCTCCTTTAGCTTAGCGGTGGTGACGTGAAGTCATGTGACCGTGCTGTAGTTCCTTTAAAGCCCAACATTAGCCTCCTTTAGCTTAGCGGTGGTGACGTGAAGTCATGTGACCGTGCTGTAGTTCCTTTATAGCCCAACATTAGCCTCCTTTAGCTTAGCGGTGGTGACGTGAAGTCATGTCACCGTGCTGTAGTTCCTTTATAGCTCAACGTTTTTGCTTTTTACTTCAGGAATCATAAAGTGGTGTTAATATGTGGAGATTATCCTGCTGAACTAAACGTTTAAGCATCATAAACTTTTGTTTGAACCAGAGATTATTTTCGGACATAATCCAAAATTAGACGGAGAAATCCCATTGGACCAGGGAGATGCTGCCTTCAGGGTCCTACACAGAAATATGACGTGCCTACACCACTGTATTTAGTGTATCAGAGTGTGTGTGTGTGTGTGTGTGTGTGTCTCACTCTCCAGTTCTTCCTTCTCAAAGTTGGTGTAGAGGGTGGAGCTGGTATTCCCCTGGTCCAGCACCGCCTCCTCATCGATTCCCTGCACACACACAGACGAACAAATGGAAAATTAAACTTGGAATAATTATTTTTGAACGGAAAAGCTGGACAGGCGTTTTCTAAACCTACAATCTTAAAAAAGTAATGACAGATTGTAAAAAAAAAAAGCTAAATAAATCCAAGAAAGATGTGAAAATTGTCAAATATAAGAAAAAATCAGTGAAAAAAAATCAGAAAAAAAAATCAATATTAAGTATGCTCAAAAGAAATGTGAAAATTACACAATACATTTCAGAGATACATATGTGAAGAAAGTCAGAAAAAAAATCATTGAGATATTCATGAAAGATATGTTCAAAATGTCCAAAGATATGTTCAAAATGTCCAAAGATATGTTCAAAATGTCCAAAGATATGTTCAAAATGTCCAAAGATATGTTCAAAATGTTCAAAGATATGTTCAAAATGTCCAAAGATATGTTCAAAATCTCCATAGATATGTTCAAAATGTCCAAAGATATGTTCAAAATCTCCAAAGATATGTTCAAAATGTCCATAGATATGTGAAGAATAACTTGAAACAGATGTCCAATAAATGTCTAAACAAGTGCTAAAAACAACAAGGTTGAAAAGTGTGAGAATAAATATAAGACAAACGGTTTTACACATCTGATAGTCAATGGTTTAGAAGCTTTCTGAAACCCGAGTAAGACGTGCAGCAGAGAAAATAGAGAAGATAAAACAAAGAAGGTATTGACTGCAGAAGGAAAAGCCTCGGGGAGATAATGTGGTCGACACATTCCGTTTAAAAAGAGGCTAAAAATAAAAAGTGCCCCAGAGGAATCTGATCAAATCCGGCACTAAATCCTCACCAGCAGCGATTAACCTCAGTGCATTCAAATACACTGCCTTTGACTTCCTGATGTGTTTATATTGAAATACAATACTACTTCGTATAAGTATTAAATAAAGAGAATTATTAGGGCTGCAACAATTGGAAAAAATAACACTCTTTAAAGTAGAGACACTACTTACTGATATACACCTGGACATCAGCAGGAGAGGACTCTTTAAAGTAGATACACTACATACTGATATACACCTGAACATCAGCAGGAGAGGACTCTTTAAAGTAGAGACACTACATACTGATATACACCTGAACATCAGCAGGAGAGGACTCTTTAAAGTAGAGACACTACATACTGATATACACCTGAACATCAGCAGGAGAGGACTCTTTAAAGTAGAGACACTACTTACTGATATACACCTGAACATCAACAGGAGAGGACTCTTTAAAGTAGAGACACTACATACTGATATACACCTGAACATCAGCAGGAGAGGACTTTTTAAAGTAGAGACACTACATACTGATATACACCTGAACATCAGCAGGAGAGGACTCTTTAAAGTAGAGACACTACTTACTGATATACACCTGAACATCAGCAGGAGAGGACTCTTTAAAGTAGAGACACTACTTACTGATATACACCTGAACATCAGCAGGAGAGGACTCTTTAAAGTAGAGACACTACTTACTGATATACACCTGAACATTAGCAGGAGAGGACTCTTTAAAGTAGAGACACTACTTACTGATATACACCTGAACATCAGCCGGATATGTTTTCTATTATTATCTTTTTTTATATTGAATATGTCCTCTTTATGTTTTTTTATATAATTATACAAATGATTACAAAAGGTCCCCAGGTAATACTAGTCTCTTAGGAGTAATGTTAAGTATAACAACAGGCTGCAGAAACGGGAGGAGAGGAGGAGAAACAGGAAAAGAAAAAGAAAAAACAGGAGGCGGAGTCTGAATGAATGCTTCTCATATCTGAACAAAAACACAAAATCTGAAAGTTAAATGGAACAACATAAAGTACTTTAACTGCTCGTACTGCACTAACAACTATTATATTGTAGAGCTGTGGAGGAAAAGAGTCCGAGTCAATACTAACAAGTCCCACGTGAAGACCTACAAGCTCTAAATCGATACCAAACTTGAGGTCATGAAGTTTTCAGTCAAGAAAGGTCCAAGTCAACACTAAAAAGTGCCAATTTAGGTCAAACAAGTAACAATATAAGACCCAAGTCAAGACCAACAACACATAGTCAAGTCAACCAAAAAGTTCCAAGTAAAGGCCAACAAGTTTTAGTCAATTCCCAATAGAGAACCAAAACGTTTCAAGTAAAGACTAATAAAGTGCCAATTCCAGTTCAAGATCATCAAGTCAAAAGTCAAGACAAGAACAACAAGTTCTAAGTCAAGTCCACCAAGGCCCAATTCAAGATCAATAAGTCATATTCAAGTCCCAATAGAGAACCAACAATGTTCAAGTCAGGACTAAAGAAGTGCCAAGTCCCGAGACAGAAGTGAAAAGTTTAAAGTCCAGAACAAAAAATGCCAAAAGAAGGCCAACATGTCCTAGTCAAGTCCCAAAAAAAAAAACAAAGCTTTCGAGTCAGGACTAAAAAAAGGGCCAATTCCAGTTCAAGTCAAAAGCCAAGATCAACAAGTCAGAAGCCAAGAACAACAAGTCAGAAGCCAATGACAACAAGTGAGAAGCCAAGACCAACAAGTCAGAAGCCAATACCAACAAGTCAGAAGCCAAGATCAACAAGTCAGAAGCCAAGACCAACAAGTCAGAAGCCAAGATCAACAAGTCAGAAGCCAAGATCAACAAGTCAGAAGCCAAGACCAACAAGTCAGAAGCCAAGACCAACAACTCAGAAGCCAAGATTAACAAGTCAGAAGCCAAGATCAACAAGTCAGAAGCCAAGATCAACAAGTCAGAAGCCAAGATCAACAAGTCAGAAGCCAAGATCAACAAGTCAGAAGCCAAGACCAACAAGTCTGAAGCCAAGATCAACAAGTCAGAAGCCAAGACCAACAACTCAGAAGCCAAGATCAACAAGTCAGAAGCCAATATCAACAAGTCAGAAGCCAAGATCAACAAGTCTGAAGCCAAGATCAACAAGTCAGAAGCCAAGATCAACAAGTCAGAAGCCAAGATTAACAAGTCAGAAGCCAAGACCAACAAGTCTGAAGCCAAGATCAACAAGTCAGAAGCCAAGACCAACAACTCAGAAGCCAAGATCAACAAGTCAGAAGCCAATATCAACAAGTCAGAAGCCAAGATCAACAAGTCTGAAGCCAAGATCAACAAGTCAGAAGCCAAGATCAACAAGTCAGAAGCCAAGATTAACAAGTCAGAAGCCAAGACCAACAAGTCAGAAGCCAAGATCAACAAGTCAGAAGCCAAGAACTACAAGTCAGAAGCCAAGACCAACAAGTCAGAAGCCAAGATCAACAAGTCAGAAGCCAAGATCAACAAGTCAGAAGCCAAGATCAACAAGTCAGAAGCCAAGATCAACAAGTCAGAAGCCAAGATCAACAAGTCAGAAGCCAAGAACAACAAGTCAGAAGCCAAGACCAACAAGTCAGAAGCCAAGATCAACAAGTCAGAAGCCAAGATCAACAAGTCAGAAGCCAAGATCAACAAGTCAGAAGCCAAGATCAACAAGTCAGAAGCCAAGATCAACAAGTCAGAAGCCAATATCAACAAGTCACAAGCCAAGATCAACAAGTCACAAGCCAAGATCAACAAGTCACAAGCCAATATCAACAAGTCACAAGCCAAGATCAACAAGTCACAAGCCAAGATCAACAAGTCAGAAGCCAAGATTAACAAGTCAGAAGCCAAGACCAACAAGTCAGAAGCCAATATCAACAAGTCACAAGCCAAGATCAACAAGTCACAAGCCAAGATCAACAAGTCAGAAGCCAAGACCAACAAGTCAGAAGCCAAGACCAACAAGTCAGAAGCCAAGATTAACAAGTCAGAAGCCAAGATCAACAAGTCAGAAGCCAAGATCAACAAGTCAGAAGCCAAGATCAACAAGTCAGAAGCCAAGATCAACAAGTCAGAAGCCAAGATCAACAAGTCACAAGCCAAGATCAACAAGTCAGAAGCCAAGACCAACAAGTCAGAAATCAATATCAACAAGTCAGAAGCCAATATCAACAAGTCAGAAGCCAAGATCAAGAAGTCAGAAGTGAAGATCAACAAGTCAGAAGCCAAGATCAACAAGTCAGAAGCCAAGATCAACAAGTCAGAAGCCAAGATCAACAAGTCAGAAGCCAAGATCAAGAAGTGAAGATCAACAAGTCAGAAGCCAAGATCAACAAGTCAGAAGCCAAGATCAACAAGTCAGAAGCCAAGATCAACAAGTCAGAAGCCAAGATCAAGAAGTGAAGATCAACAAGTCAGAAGCCAAGATCAACAAGTCAGAAGCCAAGATCAACAAGTCAGAAGCCAAGTCTTGGTCTTGGCTTCTGAGCTCCACAAATCATGTTAAACCCAGATTTGGCTCAAACAAGGGACGAAACACGTTTCGCAATTATGCCACAACAATGTGGAACGCCCTACCCACAGCTGTAAAGGAATGTGAATCACTACCCACCTTCAAAACCTCTCTAAAAGAGCACCTACGGGAGACTGCAATTCGAAACTGGCCCCTGTAAATGTCCAAACCCAACCCCCTACAATATACAGTTTCCCACCCCCCCCTCAATGTATATATTCTCTTTTTAGACTCTTTTTATACTCACAAACAGTACTGTATATTTGTAGATCTGGTATGTCATAAATGTCTAGATGTAACAGTACTGTCTATCTGTATGTCATGTATGTCATATATGTTATGATGAATTAAATGGGGGACCCTGATGTGAACAAGACGAAAGTATTTTTCTGGTCTGCATCCCCTTAACAATTGTGTGTATTGAGCTGTACTGTACCCATTCTGCAATCTGTTAATAAAATGTTCAATCAATCAATCAATGACCAACATGTCAAAAGTCAAGTGTTTAAATTTAAGGTAAAGTCCAAAGTCAAGACTAACAAGTCAAAAGTCAAGTCCCTAGTCAAATTCCACGTAATGACCAGCCAACCGGATATGGTAGTTTCCGCTAATTGTTTATCTTTCCAGCCAACAAAGCAATATGCTATTTCTACAGAAAGAC